GATGACGTTGACGTGCTTATCGCCAAAAGAGGGGGTGGAACCTTTAAATGGAGACGCTAGTGATCAGGAAGTACAGGGTACGGGGCTGTACGCGGCAACTGCTGCGGTCTCCCGGGTACCCAGTACCCGCTTTTAAACTTAGTATCACCGGATTCGGCTTCACCGGTCTTTGCCGTCTTTTTATAGTTCAAATAGTCAACAATGAGAAGAATGAGGATAAGAATAACAGAATAAGAATAAAATAAGAATTCAAAGTTATAGAGTTAAAAACTAACGGGATATAGAGCGTAAAGCCCATGTATAAACAGAACGCTCTCGCAAATATCCCTTCCGACGCCGTTTGTCCCCAAACCACCACAAAGAATGTAACAGTTTGGGGATAAGACAGCCTGCACACCCTTACCCAGGGGCCTGTTTTTAACTTGAATTGTTGGCCCGTTCCGTGGCGGGTGCCAGATGCCACAAAAATGAAAACAAAACAATAGAAACACCTTCGGCCGTACACAGTCATGACATTCGTGATCCTCGTTCATCGCTGGAGACAAAGCTATGCGAAGAAAGGTACACAACAAAAACAACAGCAAAAAAAGACCAATGATCAAGGAAAAAATGAAAAGGTAAATATGACAAAAGACAAGAACTTTAAAAAAAAGCCACACTGCTCATGAAAAGATAGATCAAAAGAAAGTCGGTTCGCTCGGAACAACAATACAAAAAGGGGCAGAACCTCGCTGGGAGGGGGGGCCCGTCGGATTCTTCGTTAAAGAGCGGAAATGGATGCGCTCGCACATCGTCACGACAATGGTTCGCATATTCTCAGTGGTAACATTTGGCATTCAAAACGAAATCGCGGGACTGTACTCGCTGGAAAAGATGGTCGTGGGAAATATCATCATCATAATGCGTTTGCGCATCGGGGTCGTTGTCTAGTTGGCGCGAATGACCAGTCGCGACACAAACTTATTTGAAAGGCAGTCGAAGTCACCACGGTTGAATTTCGTACCGGTACGGCTGCGGAGGTAGGTTTCTGCAGGAGGGGATTAGTTTTGGAGATCAAAGTGAAAGAAGGTTGGGAAGATGTTGTCTCTTACCATGTTGCTCGACATGTTGGCGGACTTCAGTCATGGTGTTGCAAACATCCGGGTTGGAGTACAACAGTTGGTGGTGCTTTTGTGAGTCCCACTCGGTGAACGGAGGCAGCTTCTGTGAGATGGCCTGGAACAATCCGACGATGACACCCACCGGGGTAGTTTCCATATCGGTGCAGAACTTCTCAACAGCAGCCGCATCTGGTGTCCGGTAGTGGCTGTCGAACTGCATCTCCTCCCACACGGCCAGCAGAATGGAGGCCAGGATGAAAATTGTCGGCCAGTTCTTCAGTTTGTCGCCACTGTACACACTTGAGTAAAGTGCTGACAGCTCCTCCAACACATCTTTCTGCAGCTCACGCCACATGCTGGCCATGGCACACTTAATCTGGAAGTTAATCATGACGGGGGCCATGGTCTTGCCGGAGAACTTGGAGCCCTGGTGTTCGATCTTGCCGAGGAAGCCTTCCTCCTCGCCAATGCCTTCGACCATGGTGACATGCATGGTGAGGTTGTAAGCAACCACCAGCTTGAGTGCCTTCCGGATAACGGGCAGCTTAGTGCGGAAGTAGAAGCGGAAGGCGGTCTTCAGCATTTGCGTCAAGAAAGGAGTGCCCTCGAAGTAATCGTCGACGAACTTCTCAAAGGTGCCATTGCCGTCGATGTGGCGGTCAAGGTAATCGGATAGCATCGCGTGCGAGATGCCCTCCATACCAGCGGAGAGTTTGGCAGTCTCGACATCGTATTGTGTTGGCTCACGCTGCATGGACTCCATCCAGTCAACGGTGAAGCACTGCTCGTCCCGGACATAGACCTCACGGGCGTTAATGGGCAGGATCTGTCCGTAACCGTGAGTGATGAACAGAGTGCGTTCCTGATCTGAGAATCCGGTAATGTTGCCGACTGAGAAGCCCATGGTGATGTGGCGCTCGTAATCCGCCTTCCAGTCCTTCATGAAGTACCCAATATCCTTGATATCAATGCGAGTACAGGGCACCTGCCACAACCGTGCGTGCGACGGTTGGCATCCTGCACAAGGCTCGCCCTTGTCACATGTCTTCTTGAGGAACTTGCAGCGCAGACAGGCGCGCAGCTTCCGGATCTCGCTGGCCTGTTTGCGCTGGTCGGGCTTGAGGGGGCCCTTTCTCTTGCCAACACGCTTCTCGGTCTCGGGCTTGCCGGTCTGGGATTGCTTGCGAACCTTGGTCTCGGCGGTCTTGGCGGCAATGGGGCTCTTGCGGGACGGTTTCCGGCTCGGTGGTGAGGCAGACGCTTGAGAGGACCCGGCGGATCGAGCAGGGGATGTTGACTTCTTGATCGGAACGGGGATCGGCCGCACCATTCCGACAGGGCTGACTGCAGAAGGCGAGCGAGAACCTGGCGAAGACTGGTCACGAAGGACAATTGCGCTGCTTGTCGGGGAGGTACCGTGCATTCCAATGGAGCTGCTGTGACTATAGCTATGGCTGTGGTTGTGGCTGTGAGTATGGCTATGGCTATGACTATGACCGTGGCCATGGTGACTATAGCAGGGCAAATCCATATTATTCTCGGAACCGGGCGAACCGATCGGATTCGTGATATCGACGAAGCTGCCGTATGATGTGGAATATGAAGACTCTGAAAGACTCCGGTCGTGCAGTGTCTGGGTGGGGTTGACGAAAACACCTTGTTCGGGATACCCAAAATCGAGAGAGCGGCGGTGGTCGATAGTGCTCCAACCGTTGTCGCTGCTAGACAGGGACCGGACCTCCAAATAAGTATCTGTGGGCGAGCTGCTTTCAAGAACGGGGTGCGGGGCATATGAAACATCCGGAAGTCCGTTGGGGAACGCCATCAGATCCGCTTGTAAGTCGTGATACGGGAATGGTACCATGTCGACTGGGGCTGACATGGGCAGATAAGGACCATCGAGCAAGCCGGCGGTCATCTGGCCTTGGCCAGACATGAGATCGACGGGCGAAGACTGCATGGGCATGCCATAACTGGTGGTAAACTGGGGCGCTGACGAGGGGTCTTCGGAGGAGTATGAGAGGTGGTGGTGATGAGGGGTGTGTAGTGGTTGAAAGTGCCAATCGACCATGAGATTTGGATCCTGGGTCACCGACTGTTCCATAGGGTGACCGCCAGTTTGCAACGGGGAGAGACCATGGGCCTCTTCTGACCGTGGGGGCGCCTGATCACCCGGCATAGGCCATGATTGATGCTGAAGATAGCCTCTGGAGTCGTAATCGACGCCAATCAGGCCATCACTGGATATATCGACATTGGACATGACTTTTTTGGAGTCAAAACGATCACGGGAAAGTGAAAGAGAAGGGGAAGAAAAGGACCAGCCTGGATGAGAGGACCTTCTTCAGAAGGGTGACACAACCATGAAGAAGAGGGAAAGTGAGGCGGTGGGGGGGACAAAGCAGCGGTGAGCGAAGAAATGCGCTAGGGGACTTGATTGTGGAGAGTGGAGAAGGCTGGCTGACGGCGTGGAAGGTTGATTCCAGTATTGAGCGATGAATTAATGCCACGGAGATTTAGTTTGCAGTAGTGTGGAAAGGAACTAAGAAAGGAAGATAAAGTACGGGAGAGTACGGAGGATCCATGGATATGGTTGTATATGAGGTTGTATATACTCCTGTCGGCCATTTGTCCGAGTCTGATCTCATGATCTTCCCAGGTTCCCTATTTATTGAATTCTTTCCTAAATGGGAAAAGGTTGCCTTGTTTTTCCTTTTTTTCCCTCTTTTCTTCCTATTTCATATTTTGATTTCATCCTATTTTATACTATTTCAGATTTATATTCCATATCTCTATTTCATATATATAATTTGTATTTTTCTACTCCTAGGTTCTGACTGAGATGCTTATGACTATTAACAAATCATCGGACCGTGAGACCGAACCCGGAAGATCAGTGGAGAGAGAAAAAAAATGAGAAAAACCCAAGTTGGGGCAGTGCGTACTGCGTGGCAATATGAATTGGCGAGATCTGACAGTCGGATTGTGTTAGACCAAAATTAGTAGTCCTTCCTAATCAGATCCAATCAGCTCCCTGTATGCTCACCATCATGCCCGTGATTCGTATCTCACGGTTCCCTGAATGCACCATACCTCAATGGTATTTAGTGGGCCAGTTCCGGATGCTGACCATGCACTAGGGAGTTCCCATAGGGAAATAGGAAAAAAAAAAAGGAAAATTAAACCCATAAAAATGGTAAAAGGCTACTAGGGTAGATGGCACGGACTATGTGGGCATCTTGTTGAGGTGCCAAGTTCAACATCGTGAACCCTGGCAAAACAAGAAATTGGACAGGTCGAATTTTCTTTTTTCTTTAATTCTTTTGCACGGATACCTGGGGGTTAAAAAGCATACCTGGGCACATGCAGCAAGGGTGTCATGTAAGCCAATATATGGAGTACTTGCTCATTGCATGGCGTCAGATTCATCACATAGAGATATATGTGGATATATATTGGCGTCTGTGTCATGCAGGAGTTATTCAAGAGCACGGAGTACGGAGCAATAGTAATATATGCATCTCCGGCCCACGAGAAACTAACTGAATCAGGATAGTGAGTTAATTCGAGGGAAGTATGGAGGACAATTAGTCAAGCAGTGAGACTCTGAGTACTCCTGTTGTGACCATGTCAAAAGATAGGAATACCGGGTAGAGATCAAGTGGGGAACAAAGAATAATTCTAGACTCTCTTCTTTTTTATATTCACATTCACATTTACAGAACAATAGTAAGAAAAAAAAAGGTTGACATTTCTTTGAACTTCAAATCTACAAAATACCTCCAAATCCCATTGATGCCGCTCGTCGGGAAACCTCGAAAAGTTCGATTTCCGAACGCACAAAAACCCAAGAACCGCCCAACCGCAACATTAACTTCAACCAGGACAACTAGGACAACCATGACTACTATGAATACATCTGACTCCAACCAACCGCGCCCGGGGATCCCGGCCTTGTTCACGCAGCCGCCGCCCATCCGCGACCCGCTCATCACCGAGACAGTCGATCTGCAGAACGCGACGCTGGAAAAGTGCCTACCATTCCTGAAAGGAATCCATAGCGCCCAGAAGGATTTCAATGACCATGGCGTTCCCGCCCTACAGCGTGATCTCCACGCCGGCTTCCTCTATGATGCCCTCGAGGATTATCCCGAGGGGTTCGTCGCCATGGACGCCAGCCGCCCGTGGATTGTGTACTGGGCGTTGGCGGGACTTGCCATGCTGGGAGAAGAGACGGCTCGATTTCGTGAACGGTGTGTGCATGCTTTTTACATCCTTGCTTTCTTATTTTTATTTTTATTTTGTATATTTCCTTGTATTTTGTATAATTTTTTTTTACTTTCCCTTTTCCCCGCCTCGTTCTTTCCCCCCAATTTGCTTTTTCCTATCTGTCATATATCCACAGAATGGAGAGCCTCTGGAGATATACCCTGATTGGAAAAGATCATCTGATCTGTACAACGTGAAACATGAAAGAGCCATTCTAAACTTTTCCTCTTTATTTTAGGGTGATCACTACGCTTCGGCCGATGCAGAACCCCACAGGTGGCTTTGGCGGCGGCCATGGCCAGACATCCCACCTGGCGGGAAGTTATGCAGCCGTGCTGTCGCTGGCTATGGTTGGGGGCGAGGAAGCCTTTGGATTGGTGGATCGACACGCGATGTGAGTTGTCACCGGCAGCGTTCTGCATGTGCGTCTTGTGTAATCCTGTGCGTCTGACCCAGTTTCTGGATTTCCCAGGTGGCAATGGATTGGCCGATTGAAGCAGCCAGATGGAGGATTCTGTGTTTGTGAGGGCGGGGAGGAAGATGTGCGGTAAGTGAAACTTCCTGGGAGCAGGTGGTCCCGTCGCCGTTCCCCAATGCAAGATCTGACATGTCATTAATGCAGTGGCGCATACTGCGCTATGACTCTGATCTCGCTACTCGACCTGCCGTTGACGCTTGCGCCGGGGTCTCAAGCGCGGGAGGCGGGATTGGAAAGCCTTACGAGTGGTCTTCCTGAATATCTCTCACGATGTATGAGTTACTGGTGGTTTGGTTCACAGCAAGGCTTGAGATATGCTGACCCTCACCCTTAGGCCAAACGTTTGAAGGTGGGATTTCTGGCAGCCCTGGGTCGGAGGCCCATGGGGCATACGCCTTTTGCGCTCTGGCATGTCTCTCTATCTTGGGACCCCCCGAGGAGATCTTCAACAGGTACGAGACTACCGTAGCCCGGAATGCTCTGTCTAATTCTTTTTGTATGCTAATGGTTTCTGGCAGACACATGGACGTTCCCATGTTAGTGTCATGGTTATCCGCACGCCAGTCCGCCCCGGAAGGTGGTCTATCTGGACGAACAAATAAGCTAGTGGATGGATGCTACAGCCATTGGGTTGGTGGATGTTGGCCATTACTTGAATCTTCTCTGGAGGGAAAGCCGGATAACACCCAGCCACCGGTGAACAGCCTTTTCAGCCGCGAAGGTTTAACCCGATACATCCTTGCATGTTGTCAAGGGAATGATGGTGGTCTTCGTGACAAACCGGGCAAGTAAGTTCACCTCTATCTGAGCCAGTTTATTTCACATGTGGCTGACCAAGACCAAGACATGTCGACTCATACCACACCTGCTACGTTATGGCGGGATTAAGCGCGACTCAAAATCATCACTACCGGACCGACTCGAGTATTGCGAGTAACAACTTTACATCCTCATTCTCCTGGAAGTCTTCACCCAACCGTGATCCGGGCAATGTGTTTTCACGAGGTGATCGGCTAGAGCCAATGCACCCTTTGTATGTGATCCCGCACAAAGCCGCGGAGCAAATGCGGCTCTGGTCCGAGGCCCAGCCCCTCACTATCTAACTGGAACGGGCGTGAGCCGACGCCATATCAAAAAGAAGACATGGGACAAAGCGCCACCACGGATGAGGTTTCCTTCGAAAATTCTCTCGAGATTACTGTAGATTGAAGCAGGGTGTCATTGGTAACCAGGGACTCCGAGCGAGTGCATTATGCATGATTAGTCTTGGATGCTTGAGACTGCAAGCCCCGCGGTCATAGCAGCGGTCATGGCATGGGAGCCACGAGGATGATTTCGACTAAGCCAAGGAGGATGCTGTGAACGAGGCCGAGACGCAAGGGGGTTGGATTTCGGGGGCCCGAGTATGACTACACAACATAGGTCATAGCACATAGCACCAATTCCTTCTGTTTTTTTTGTGCTGGCAGTTTCACCGAGTTTCCGAAGTTTACAAAAAGTTCGTTTAGCGCGAGGGTGAAGATTTTACTTTTCCCGCCACTCTGCGCCGATCAATATGAAAATGCTCCTACAATGCACACAATGTGTTTGCCACCAAAGACACAAGCTGCACGAGGCCCAAGAGGGCAAAAGTAATCGTCGGTACCAGAATATGCAGATAAATCCAACGCCTTTCCCCACTGCAATGCCAGCTCATCATTGCGTCCGATGCCTGTCAAGTAACTGAGGTTGCTCGGGGGGCGCATGCATTTTCCCATTCTCCGATATTGGATATTCCCAGTTACCCACGTTGATTCTCTCTACTTTGATTATTTCATTGACTCATAGCCTTTCCACAAGCAATTGACCCCTCTTCAGACGCGTTCTGCACAACATGAGCGGCCCCTCCTTGGCGCCAATCACCATTCGCAGAACTGCGCGTCTCGCGAATCCATAAGGGCGGCAAATTTAATTGTACTTTCTCTGATACATCTGCGGGGCCAAAGATGAAATACACAGGCCATTATTAGAAAACAATGTCAGCCAAAGAAAAAAAAATAACAACCTGTGTGCGGAGTATAGGATAGTATATTATAGCACCATCCTAACACCTCTATCCCATTCAAACTTACACCGGGATACTAGGATCCATATTCTTCATGTATTACTCTTCTGCAAGCAGATTGCAAGGTCTTCCTTAGTCCCCGAGAACGTTTATGTTTCGATCGGCGAATTGCAGGGGCATAATCAGACAGCTTACGGTGACTCCCGGTGCCTCAGACTCGGTTCAATTCGACTGGCAAAGAGATATGCCAGCGCATCAGTAAACCCGCCGAGAAAACGGCACACGAAATACGTCGAACACCCGTTTGAGTTACTGTTACTCTTTTTTTGGAGTCTTTTCCGAGGTCTAATGCGAGTCTGGCGTTTGCGTGCATCTATCGTCTTCTCTGCTCTTCTCTTCGTGTACCTTGTTTACTTGGTGGAAGTAGTCTATACCCGGATTCCAGGTCCATACCCTATAGCCTCCTTCGAGATTTCATTGTTTACTATTTTCTGTTTATTGTTTACTAGTCCTATCACTGCTTATTATCACTGCTTACTATATCCCTGTCTTTTCCTTTCTTTTTTTCTTCTTCAATATTTCAACGGTGGGTATTGGAATCTTCGTAGTTTAACTTTTTAGTTTAATACCATTTTCTTCTTCAGGTCATCTGCATTGACACCAAGTCTCTCTCTCCTTTTTTTTTTTTTTTTTTGGTTTCTTTGTGCGCTGTCGCAATTGCAACCGTTTCCCTTGTCTGTTGGTACTGTGTACACCGGCCAGCTCACGGTATGACTTGGGAGGTATCAATGCAAAAGCCCCACCTGTTTTCCAGAAGCAATCAAGTATCTGGCAAGAAATAGCTATGTTCCCCTCATTAATTTTCTTTTTTTCTTTTTTTCTGTTGTACGGGGGAGGGGTTCTAGGAAATCGTATATCTGTATATGGGTGAGGCATCTTTCCAATGTTTCTTTCGAAATTTTGATTTAGCTGTCAATCCCTCTCTCTATTGCTTTCACTCTTGCATTTTTTTATTCCACTCTTCTTTGAATTAGATACCCTTGGCCTTGATTAGTATCATAATCGTGCTTTTGTTTGGAACGCCAGCACATCCTCCCCGCTGCTAGTAAAGCAAACGCAGTCCCACCAGCCGTTGGGCATCACAATCCGCATATCTTCTGACTGCACACCAGCTAGCAGCTCAGCCTCATCCCTAAACCCGTCTCGCTACACACAAAGTCCGTCCAATGCGTTTTGAGTAACCGTCGCAATTCGCTGCAGTTAGACAAGTGGCAACGCCATCGTCCGTCACTCGTCTCCAGTCTTCCCGTCTTTCTTGCTTCCGGCTTGCGTCTAGTCCAAATCTCAAGATGTACTATATCCTCTACCTGACCAGTATGTCATCAATCTCCCCACAACCACCATCACCTACTATTCCCCGGGCTTTGTATGCATGCATCATTGCCAGCACAAACCAATTCCCCCAACCCCAGTCAATGGACATCACCCTATCCCCAAACATACATTCAATACAGACAAATAAACCCGAGTCCTAACCCCTACCTCCATACACTAATCCCAATTCAAACACCAATTAATCCTACCCAAAAAAACCAAACTAATTAAATCCCAAACCTAGGTCTCTGCCGCCGGCGCAATTGGCCCGAACCAATTTACAATGCATACATAAGCAACAGCGGATACACCTGCACTGTGCGGGTCAACAACCGCGAGTACCGAACGGACAGTATCTGCAGCAATGAGACGCTCGCGCGCGAGAGCGCCGCCATGCGTGCATACCTGATCTGCCGCAACTTCTCTGTCAACGACGGCATGTATCCTGCGGGACATGAGCACGGCGGCGCTGTGCAGGGTATGCGTGTTGCAATTGGTGCGGGACGGAAGCCTGCTCGTGAGGATGATGTGCTTTCTTTGGGCTCTGCCAGTGGGAGTGGGACTGGGAGTGATAGTTCGCAGGGTGGGAGTTGGAGTGGGGGAAGTAGCCCCGTTAGGGTTGGGATTGAGGGGGATAGTAGGGGTGGCTTTGGAGGGAGGGTTTAATTGGGATTTTGATTGTGGTTACGATTTTATGACATTATGGATGATTATGACTACGCCTTTTCTGGTATTTTTTTAGAGGGAAAAGTCGTGGGATTCTGAGTGACTGTTTTGTGGTTCTTGTTGGCTATAGACTGCGACATCGCCCGTCCATGGGCACCTAGGAGGTGCCCAAGGCCCGTCCACGGTGGGCCTTGGGCTATTTGGATTTTCGAGTGCCCGTCCATAACGCCCAAGGCCCACGGGCATGCCCACGGCGGGCATGCCCACGATGCCCACCATTGCATAAAGTCACCCAAAATGGACGTATAACTCGCTGACTTTGCATAATAAATAACTGTTATTTACACCTGTTTTGCCAACTCCATGTAAAATGGCAGTTTTAATCTACAACATCTATCAATTTTACTGAAATATCTATGTATATGAGAAACTAGTATATATATGATACGAATTGGAATAAAATTTTAATCGAAATACATCATGTTGTGTGGTATTTTTATTAACTTATCAAATCATACTGTAACAGCTTGAAGATATATATTCAAGTCAGTGGTATATGCCTGGCATTTTCCATAAGTAAAATACTACTTATGGATTCTACTTTATCTCTCACTCTGGTATATTTCTTATAGGTAGATCGAAAGATAATTAGTATAATTCTTATTTTATAAGCTTATATCACTAAATTCTGTCAATTATATCACTCAAAGACTTGTGTTATTATTCTGGGAGTTTTAAATCCTTCGATTGTAACTTAAGATGGGCGTTTAGGTATATTCCCATGGGCGTGCCTACGGGCGTGCCCACGGGCATGCCCATGGACAAAGACACTTATAGCCAATCAGCTTATAATATATAGTGGGTCTACACTCAATTTACGATCTATCAGATCTATACAAAGCACCCCTTTTACTAGTAATCCTCGTTTTACACGGTCGCAAGTTACCTATTATAAGTTCAGATCACTCACTCTCCTATAGTCGTTATATTATCCCTTATATCACATTAACTATGTCCCAACCTAGTGCCTATACCGCAGGGCCTTCTTCACTTCCTCCGAGCTCCTAACCAGACCTCTCCTACGTCGCCGATATATTTGATCCTAACCTTAATCCAAATATTGATCCCAGTCTCTTCAACAGCCAACAGACTTCTATCTCACTGATAGAGTCCGAGTTCACTCAACCGGCTATTCTTAATTACTCTCTTAAACGCGTCGGCCCCGATCGGAGAAAGCAGTTTATCCTCTACGACGCGATGAACAACGCGTCCAAAGTAAAGTTTATCGAGTGGTGGCGTACCACAGTACGCGGCAGCAGTACTAAGACATAACAAAGGCTACGATGGGATGCAAAACACATATCAGATATCTAGGAGAACTTCGACCAGGTAGCATATCATATTACAGGCGAACCTTTAGTCATGTGTCGGACGTGTGGGGTTACATTGCCTCATCCAAGTACAAAGCAAAGCGGCACCAATACACTTAAGCGGCATCTAGCCTCAGGCAAATGCCAAAAGGGTAGTAAAAGCAAGTCTACACAACAGTCGATTAAGGAGACTATACAGCATATACCGGTAAGTCTTATATTATTATACCCTTCAAGATAACTAACATATTACATATTAGGCACTGGAGTTATCTTATAACTCAAAATTCTCGAATGATGAATAGGAAAGAGAGCAGATTGAATATCTTACCAGTCTGAACCTCCCTTTCCGGATACTTAAGAGGAAGCAATTTGCTTCCTTAATTCGAATGGCACAAAAGGGCTCCAGCTGAACCCACTTTACTCCATCCTCGCACTGCTCAACGCCGGCTCAAGAAATTGGTCGACGAGGAGCAACATTCAATTCTCGCTACCTTACCACAAGATGCGAAGCTCTCAATTGCCCTCGACTGCTGGACATCGCCTTTTCAGCAGGCATTTATGGCAATCACAGGGTACTTTATCGACCGAGACTGGAATTACCGTGAGCTCCTACTTGGTTTCGAACCACTTAATAGGGCGCATTCTG